CTTCAAACTATCGCCAGTCATGAAAAGATCCGGTCAAATGACACGAGTTTAGATCTATGAACAAGGCACGAAAAGGAAAAGAATCGGCGACAGGCCACATCAGGCCTACACTTCAGCGCCGACATCACTATGTTATGTTAAATTAACAATAAAGAGCAATTATCAGATATATTTATATGAGTATTTTCATTTTTTATTGTTCTCGAAGCAATATATTAATTAATGCAGAGCGCGTGCACTATGCTTTATTTGTCGATGTTGGAGTTTATTTTCACCAAGGATGAGCACGATGAGAGCTGAAAAAGACTATGAGATAAATGTGAGATAAAATGTGCGACCTATAGATCTATCATTAATTTTTCAAATCATAATTGCAAAGTAAAAATAAAAATCTTTAAGAAATTCATAGAAAATTTCATGTGAGTTTGAATTCCTTGAATTCTTACCTTCTACGTTGCTCGCAGGGCCTCTGCATTTTGTCATATATCATTGTTTAAGCATGCATTAATGCTTAAGCATACATTAATGTGTAAGCATGCATTAATGTGTAAGTATACATTAATGTATGTCCATGCAATCAAGGTTTTGAGAGGTTTGGACAAAATTTGGTAGAAGTTCAGGCAGGGATGAAAAACGTAATACAAAAAAGGAGTGGTCCCAGGAATCCAAAAGTTGGTTCCAAGCATTCCCGATTGCCATTCCAGGTTGCAGGGTTAAAGGTGATACCAGGCGACGATTCCGAGAAAAAATACGACATAAATAAGAATTATTGCAAGGCTACTCAATCATTACGTATATTAATATATTTAAAAATGATTAAAAGGTGTTGAGATTGCAATTCATGTGTGCACGGATATCTGAAATGAAAGTTCTATGTACAAACTGAGTGTATAAAACATACAGAAAGAATAATATTGGTAATTTCAGTCTACCTACGAAAACATGTGCAAATGAGAATTATTCTTAAGAAAACATAAAAAATAAATTCATTGAACACATTCACTAAAAATTTACAAGCAAAATTTTGGCAAAACATTATTAGTAAGCTTCAATGCATCAGTACTTCAATATTTACGTCAATAATTATTGCATACATGTATAACTTCACGTTGATGATGAATTTGCAATTAATAAATATAGAACCGTGAACTTTCGAACCGAGAACTACGAATATAGAACCGTGAACTTTATAGAACTTTTTTTAATCACTGAGTGATACTTTCATAATTAGTATAATCAGTGTTGACCTTACCGATAAAACTTTTACATATTATAATATTGTACTAAACGATACTAAACTATATATACTATTTCCGTATATGGTTTATGCACTAGATATTATAAATATTCTGCTATGTGTGTGCAATCAGATCTGCCCATTCTCTATCCTTACAGGAATTAAGCGCAATTTCATGTGGAATAATGCCTAAAAATAAATAGATAATGAGTGAATGAGTAAGTAGAAGCCAAAAAGATGAACCTTCAATGTTAAATAAGGGTTTCAATACACGTAGAGTTCCTGATCTCATACCCTTTATCTCCACCATATGTATGTGAGCACGAGAGACCAACTCTTATCTCATAAACTAATCTCAAGTACTGTACTCTGTAGGACAGCCGCGCACGTTGACTGGGCCATGACGCTAGAGCTATTCGAGGAGAAAACTTAGTGTTTCAAAAACTATTTTCATTGTTTTATCTTATATTTTTAAATCGAAAAGCATGAAAGCTACAGTATTACCCCACATGATTAAATCTGATTAGATTCTTTTCCTTCTTTTGATACGTTCAAAACAAGTTATAAGGTCAATGTGAGTAGCAGATACGATAATTGATATTAATACTGTTCACAAATCTCATAGTCGCTCAAAATGTAATTAAGCGCCGCCCTTACTTACTCATGTACACGTACAAGAGTGCGATGAGTGAAATAAGTTTATTGCTCGTCCATCGGGACTGATGAGTTGATTTGAGAAATTGTAATTGATAAAAACATCGACCCCTAATTTAGTTATCTTTGAGGTTGAGGTTGAATACACTAGTAATTTTATGGCAATTTTTTTTAGTATTCAGCAATCATACCATTATTTATTGCACACATGGAAATTCGAGTTGCCTCTCATGTTATTTTCACCTATAAAATAATAATATTAAATTCCTGCAATCTAACAATTATGTTATTCAGGAAAATTATATAGAAATTTTGCGTTGCACGACGATATACCCTTACGTTACTCTACTGTAGATTCTTACATGAACAAATTTGAAGCTTCTTTTTTGCAGGGTTATTGCATTAGATGGAAGAAATTAAACTGTAAAATTGATCATCTTTAAAGTTAAGTTTCTCTTAATGTAATTGAATCGATTTCATTCTAGATCACAGACTACGAAGACACTCACTTACCCAATGATCGATGAAGCCAGCAGTCGATACTGAGCCACGGTGAGAGTGTCGAGGGATAGGAAGGTGAACACTGCGACCGTCATGCCTAGTACCACGCTCAGGAGCAGGTACCATAGCGGCGTCCGAGTACCTGTAAATATATACAGCGTAAAAAGTTGTTATACAATTGGCAAATAATTGAACTGGAATATATATCAAAATTAATACTCATTTCGACAGATGGACACACGTAATCAGCATTATGTTTCTTGGTAAAATCCATCAGCATCAGAATTTTTGGGAAAAGTGATCAACGTTTTGATTTATTATGCATAGCATAATACTGCAGATAATATTCACTTGTTAAGACTTAATTAATTGAAAATAAATCTATAACTCATAATCTCATGAGTAAATTCCTTACAGAGTACAAGAAATAAATATTGTTGAACCTGCTATACAATCATAATTCAAATCGGATATAAAATGCAATTATATTCACAAAACGTCCGAATATATCAAATTCAGCCCATGAGCATAGTTAAGTGCTAAAAATATAAGAATTACTAAATATCTACGACGTCGTCCACTCTGTACGCATAATCTGTTTTCCAACTCACTCAACGCAATGAAATATTTCAGTTATTCTGTATATTTATCTGTATAGTGTATTTCAGTATATTTATTCATTGCCAATTGTCCTCGCACTAACTAGTGTGTGTAAAAAAAAACACAATCATCTGTCGGCAGTTAGATGCTAAATTCAATATAACGCATTTACACTAAACGTAACTTCGCTGCTAACTTTTCGTTAGTGTTCTCACACGAAAAATTTTTTGGTCGAAATAAATTCTGATGGAACTTTCATTTCATTTGTAGCTGATGGAACTTTCTACTTTCATTTGGAAGTGAATTTGAAAGAACGGCTTCAACATTTAATTACCATTCAAATATTCTCATCTTGCCTGCCCATTGATCGTGGCCGGTCATTTTTTTCGACGATCCAGTACGAGATTAATCATTTAATCGTTTATTTTCTTTAAAAATTCCGAAATAAAAGGCATCGGTAGAAAATGCCTCGTTTGAGGGTGAAGTGTCGGCCCATTACAGTTAAAAAAAACATGAATGGTAATTGAAGGAAATAATGCATTTTCATCTCTAGGGCATTGGCGATAAATCTTTAAATATTTTTTAAAATAAACTTTCACAAATCCTAGGATTTCCTTCACACTATATCTTTGATAAATGTATGTCTCAGTACCTCACACAACGCTCTCAAACAAGCCTAACAAGCGTGTACGATCACAGCAAACAGTGGCATCACCAACCAACTCTCAACACAGACACGCATCCAGCAAACACTTGTGCTGTACGCAGGTGTTAATGAATGATATGTGAACTACATTGTACGTATACTGATGCTTACATTGTACGAAATATTAGCGTCAATAACATTGGATGAAATGTTAACAACATTGTACGTACTGATGCTAACATTGTAAGAAATATTAGCATCGATAACATTGGATGAAATGTTAACAACATTGTACGTACGGTTGCTAACATTGTACGAAATATTAGCGTCAATAACATTGGATGAAATGTTAACAACATTGTACGTACTGATGCTAACATTGTACGAAATATTAGCATCGATAACATTGGATGAAATGTTAACAACATTGTACGTACTGATGCTAACATTGTACGAAATATTAGCATCATTAACATTGGATGAAATGTTAACAACATTGTACGTACGGTTGCTAACATTGTACAAAATATTAGCATCGATAACATTGAATGAAATGTTAACAACATTGAACGTATTGATAAAATCATTGTACGATTGAGAATCCGATTGCAGAATAGTAGCATTCAGCAGCAATTGTATTGGACAATAATTGAAATAACAGTACTAAAATGTAATTCTTTCATGAATCAATTACTTTCCACGACACAGAAAATGACGCCATGCCAATGAAGACTCACATGGAGGTTTCAAGGTGCTGAAACAAACGCGTTCTCAGAACTGAGGCAGTTCTTGGCTTAATGGAATGTATTGAAATTGAACGCCCCCCTTTCATGAAGTGTCGTGTACGTAAAAATCGACGTACAGAGATGGTAGTGGTACCATTGGATAGGCCAGAATGTCAGCTCTAAGATGAGACTAAACACGTAACTGCAGCACAACTCAAGTAGACACTATATATAAAGAGCTCACCAGCTAATTAGTTCCTATCTAATTACTTAAAGAACTCCCCCACCCGCCCCCCTTTCATGAAATGTCGTGAAATCATAAATCAACGTAGAGAGATGGCAGTGGTACCGTTGGATAGGGCAGAATGTCAGCTTTAAAATTAGTATGAAAACCGAAAAAGTAAAAATTTTCAATTTTAGGGTAGACTCTCCCCTTAACTTGAGTCTCTAAAACTGAATTATTGATTCCGGTTAGGCCCTAGACATTAACCATCGAATAGTGTACTATCTATTATATATATTACGTATATATATATGAATGAAGGTTGCGGAGTGATGGAACAATTTTATTGCCTCTAGTGTGATTGAGGAGGTATGTTTAATTCAGAAAAGTTACTCCCTCCAAATAGTTATGTAGATTTAGGTTAATCACAAAATAAATATTCTAATTTAGTATGCAATACTACAATACATTACTTTTATTTATATTTTTCGATCTTATTAGTGACTTAATTTGCATGTCTAATAGAAAACAAGATTAACGTTCAAAAATCTTCACATAAGACAGCTACATAACTGGACCGTTGAACACACAGTCTTTTTTAAAGAGATGAGGCTCTATTTGACAAAGTTGCAATTACAGGCTCGCAAATACAAATAGACCGCGTCCTCAACATTGTTTTTCTTAAATTAACTGAAACATTTTTCAAGCTCAATAACCTACTGGTTTTGAAGTTGACTTGGATATCTACAGGTGAACAGTAGCAGTTGATGAGAACACTCGTCAATATAGCTGATATATATGCAGATGCATTCGTGAAAGCCACTATATATGTCTTGCTGTGGCTGGTCGAAAAAATCAACGGCAAAAGAACTGTGGATAGCAGTTCTTCAATCCAGCTTGGCAAGCTGAATAAAAACCGGCAACTCTTCTCACAAGTGTACACTGTACCATATACATCTGCGACAAACATTGTTGAGGTTCCACGTGTGTAAAATCAGCGGCCAAAACCCTTTCATATGAACTATAAGGTGTCTGAGGTTTTCACAAGTCAATTTCGAGTGATAAGGCTGCTCATGCAGCAGGTATAAAGCGATCATTTAATTTTGGGTTCATCAGCGATAGTCGAATTCTGAAAGTCGAAAAAATCTAGGTATAGTTAAATCAAGCAATTATTACAATTGCCGAATAGAAGATAGAATTATTGTATACAGTTCATTACTCTCACTATTTTCCCTAATGTTAAGGCTGAAAAAGAAGGTCGTTCATTTTTTGGAGGTGCGGTTTATTCATTGATTTCGACAGTATAGTTAGATAACTGAGATTATTCAAATCAACGGATGCATTAACCGAAATTCGGCCTTGGCAGCAGCGATACTTAAAGCAAGCATTTAGGCTTTAATTTTTTCTCAAATAAATTCCGTATTCTTTTGTCCCAGTCTCACAGATAACAAGGGAATTTTAAACGTTTTTTCATTACTTGTCACGTTCTTCACGCTTACAAGTCACTGCAAATCATTCAATTGGGATTCGAGTATACAGTTTAAAACACAAACTGTACACTAACATAATTTTTCACCTTGATCGCTGTCACCATTGTGCAGGATAACTGCCTAATACTTGCATTGAAAAGTTACAACAGAGACTAACGTCACATTTACATTAGTTAATTTTGAGAGTTCCTACTAACTTACAGTTGGCGATCAAATTATCGCACAGATTTTCATCCTCGTGTTTTTTACGAACAATAAAATTTTCTTGAACCAAATGTGTTCCTAACCTACAACCGAGAAATTCAGCTATTGCACTGCCACGAATATCTCAACAGGTCATCAATTTCTTTCCACTGAAATAGTTATTTGACTTTAAAAATCGATTCATCACTACAATACTCAATTAAAACTGTGATTTCAATTCATCACAATCTTGTCACACGCAGTCGCTTCTCAGTTGTTACAAGAGAACACTGCTAATGGCGTCACTACATTGAACGGTATGATCGAATGACTGATGGCAGCACTGTAAATAACCATTTAACCTAGCAATTTAGCTCTCTGTCATCGACACCTAAAAAAACGCGAATAACTAGAGTGCTTTCCTTATAACAAGCTTAAAATAACTTAACAAATATTGACTTCTCACTTGCAATCATTTCCTTATTTTCTCTACACAAAATGACATTTATTGGGGCGATTAAACAATTAATTGATGGTCTCGAATTTTTCCTCTTATTAGAGAAGGCAGAAATTGTTTTCGCAAACTCAGAATTATTTTTGTTTTTTATTGAAAACGGACGCTTCTTGCACGTTGCATAAAATATGAGAATTGACCTAACTCAGCTGTGGCAGGACATTTCTATGATAACAAGGGGAATAATCCGTAAATTTGTGATTATAAAAGTAGTTCCAAACAACTTCAGAAACTAACAACAGCGTCTCATTGTGAGCAGAAATTTCATATATACGCTGAATGGGGTAAGTTTTCTCCAATAAGTTAAGTACTTAATTTTCTCCTTACAATTTCCAAAACCAAGTGTTTGTGTGCCGACAAATTCGCTTGGAGACAAGAATAATTATTATTGTCGATGCTGGGGTGAAAGGTCGAAATTTCTACTATGAGGAAACTTTCCTGGCTTCGAAGATTGCATGGGTATTTAATGTTCTATGATGCAAAACATTATTGGGTGAAGATCAAAATAACAGATTAGCTTTTAGATTGATGTCATATCACGAACAGTCATTAATTGGAATAAAGTCTGTCCGTCATCGGGGTCATTTAACTCGTGCGTGACACATCTCTCTCAAACGCTATCGTCAAACTACAAACTTTCGTTTACACAAGTGTCAGCATGATAGTAATTAGATCAAGAATGATAAATTCAATTCGCAAATAGATCACAAATCTGACAGTGGTATTCCTGTATGAAAAGTGAAAAATTTCTCCTAGAATTGAAAATTTGTGTATGAAAAGTGCAAAAGTTCTCCTAGAAGTGGAAATTCGTGTATGAAAAGTGGAAAAGTTCTCCTAGAAGTGGAAATTCGTGTATGAAAAGTGAAAAAATTCTCCTAGAAGTGGAAATTCGTGTATGAAAAGTGAAAAAGTTCTCCTGGAAGTGGAAATTTGTGTATGAAAAGTGAAAAAATTCTCCTAGAAGTGTAAATTCGTGCATGAAAAGTGAAAAAGTTCTCCTAGAAGTGGAAATTCGTGTATGAAAAGTGAAAAGTTCTCCATCTCCTAGAAACCGGACGTAACGCACCTGACATCTTCACAGGCAGACTTGATATCAGGACCCCGCACTCATGACATGAGCAACACTACACAATGAGGAACAATATCAATAATGACTATTACTGATCGCGATATAGCACGTTAATCACGAGAAATAATTAGTAGGATCGACTTTTAACAAATGCGAAGGTTACATGCCAATGTGTTTATTGATTGATTCCAGCGGCAGAATAGGGGTGTTAGCGTTGAATAGGCAAAATCTGGCCTGTCGCTGACTCAAGACATTGCAGAATTAATACAGATTGCTGGGGATTCGCAAATCGCTCTTCCAATCTTGCTGTTCTCAACCACCAGGACACTTCGCCTATTTTGACCAGAACTGTCATAATAGGCTGGGATCGAACCTGCAACTCACTGCTACAGCCCTGGTACTCCAAACTGTAACCACAGGACCAACCTGCCCTTTGCCTCCAATCTTGTTTTCAAATGTAAACTATCACGATTCCTTATTTTCCTTTGAGAAAGTTCACAAAAAACAGCCGGTTTCTGCTATTGTCTTTAAAAACGTTCATGTTAACTCTTCCACGGCGAATAAATCAATAAGTTAGATAATTTGAAAAGATCCGGGTAAATAATCACAAGAGGAGAATATTAGTTCCATAGAGATTTGAGCTTAGAACATTACTGTTTAATGAAATATCCAGTAGACTGTATTTTAAATTCATTTAATTGTTGATAACTAACAATTGCATGGCAGCCTATATACGACGAGGCCTCTTGATGAGTGATGCAAATCAAGAGCCCCACGATAATTACCTCGATGCGAAAAAATTTATCGATATTACCCATTGATATATCGACAGAAATCCTTAAACAAACACAACACTTGCCAAGGTAATAAATTTCATAGCGAGCACCCCATCTTCGTACATCTCATGATCGTATTTTTCCGTAAGTTTATGGAGCTACAGTGACAAATACGACAACCGGTTGTGTTTGTATTAATATGAATATTAATATTCTCATTAGTTATCCGAGAATAATGATTACATTCCGAAGGTTATAAATGCACGTTCATACACAAGAAGCCGTCTAGACAACCATTATCAAAGCAATGGTAAAAATTAAAAACAGAAATTTACTAACTAAACATAAACACATGTTTACTTAGAGTTTTGTGGATATGAACATACCGATTTCTGGGTATCAGTTCTCACGACCGCCTGAGGTGCTTTAAAGATAATTTCTGCATTCAAAAGAATACATCATAACAGAGCGATTGAAACTATGTACCATTTAGGCAACATTCTAATTTCTTCCACAGCAGTTATGGAAAGTTGATGGGAATACCGCTGTCGACGTCAATCATGCATTTGGACCAAACGAAAAGGTCACCTAAAAAGTAGGGCACTCCGTAAATAAGTTTTTTTCTACAGTTTCATACCTGTATAAAATCCCTGATTGAAAATTTTTGCCGAAACTGTAAGCGAACATAATCTATTCAAAATTTGCATTTTTGAAATATTTGTACTACTTGTGCACAATTCACAATCTAAACGAGTATCCAAAGAGATCTGCTTCACTTCTTCTGGTAGTTGCTGCTGCTGAATGCTCAATCGGAAATTAGATTTCCTAAAATAGGATCACGAAAATTTTTCAGAACTCGCCAAAAATGGCTGATTAATTTTCCAGCTTGAAGATCATTTTCACATAAACTACACAGTATAACAGTACTGCCCAATATTATTAAAAACTCGACGGCTTCATCAACGATTTTACCTCTTTTTATCCATAAATAAATAAGAATGCGGCCAATATAATGAATATAACAGCTCGTGACCGATCATTCATACAGGTGGCCGACCAATGCATTACATTCGTTCATCCAAATTTACCATCATTGAGTTATGAGTTATTATTTACAAATCGACCGAAATGCTCGTTGATGATTAAAAACCACCATTCATTAATAGAATATAAATTCTCATTTCTTAAGATTGCGTGAATTTCGACAGAAAATACTCCTGCAACCGAATAAAAGTTCTCATCATTATAGCAGTGAGACCTCTGGTTTCCTCGCCGGTGATACCAATTGATAGTTCAATTGACGGCCTGATTAGACAATATTCCCGCAGAAGTGTTATGAGAAATATAACGAGAGAAAACGTACTCTTTTTGCCCGCAAATATTACTTATAGAATACATATATTGAAATATATATACCCTATATTCTTTATGTAAAAAAACTCTAATTCTAAATGAAAACTCATTCTTCTAAACTCATTTTTCTCAAAATAATTTGAATTATAAATATATTTCAAGTAAAGGGGATCCATCGTATATCTGGTGTTTTGGATAATAAAAAAAATTAACTTATAGATATTCTGAGTCAATTGTCGAGAATTGACCGAATAGGGAAACTATTTCTGAACTCTGAAACAAAATCTGAAACAAAATCTACAAACTGATAATCTAATTTTTGAATGTTAATTTCCAAGGTTTGCTCTGAATAATTTCAAAATTTACTCCTTATTCAAGGATGAGGACGTTGTTCCTGCCCGAATTGAGCCAAATCAGTTGTGTGCACTGCACATCGGCGTACGACGGAATGACGTAGCGTAACTTCTACATCCGGGCTTCTGAAGGAGCTATCGTTCGAGTCTACTACTTTATGAGCCTCCTCACTCTACCGTGCGCTTCACGCTGAACAATGAGACGTGTTTGCGTCAGAGGGCGACTTCAAGATCCTCGGTTCCACATTTGGTGATTCGTAATTAAGGACTTTAGGACCGCTGCACATTTTTGAACGGAAACCGTGTCGTAATAACGCGTACAGTTAATATTTTATTAAATTGTACCTCGATAGGTTTTTATATTCTCTTGACGTTCTCTCGTTACTGAAGTTGCAATCTATTTTGTTAATGATTCAATTTTCACGGCTGATTGCACTTGTATTACGTATAATTTTTTAAATTGATTTTGAAGATATAGTTAATTGCCTAGGCGTTTTTCTTATTCTAAATTATTGATGAAAGTTAAGCACAGACCAATGATAGTATCTGCATCATCTCTACATTTTAATAAAAAGACTTCATAAAAAAGATCATTTGAAGTAATTTTTAGCGATAGTTGAGTGCAAATTATATCAAAACTAGTCATCTCTCTGAAAAATAAAGGCGGAAAAAAATCTGAATGCTAAAAGTTATTTACTCACCGACTGCCATCTTGTGAAGCTAAACTTGTGGATGGAATTTCTCCGATGTTCTTCCCTAAGTTCAATAATCAATCCAAGCGAGATAAGGTATAATTATTCAAGTGATCAATAAACGAATTGAAGGTCACCATCACGTAAATTCATCTAAAGGATCATTCATTCAATTAATTTACCAGGCTTTAAAAAAGATCTTTCACGAATACTGGCATAGAATGTCCAGTTATAAACACACAACACAAGTTCAACAGCACTTACGAGATGTAAGTGACGATTCACCACATCAACAGTTCAATGTAATCACTAAATGTTTTTCATTCCTAAATTAGTCCACATTATAAAAATAAATAATTACATTTGCCTGAGACTTTGGGCTTGTGTAATTATGTCACACTAATAATACATTATAAATCTCAATCTCTGAATAATTTTCGTACACGTTGATATAGTGAGACTCGTACAAACGAGGGGCTCCAGGAAGTTCGTGGAAGAACAACAATTTGAGAAAACGATCAATTATTATCTTACATATGATCTATCGAGGTCGATACATTTCTCTATCGATACCGAACTCTTGCTCAGTAACAAACTGACCAACATAATTTTGTGTTCGCAACCCACGGACGGAATGTACAGCGTCTCTGATACTGCTTCGGTGGTTATTCGCCTATGTTTATCAATGAGATCACGAGCAGCATCAATGTTTTCTCCACAAAGATGCGCGTGGTCTGCCTCTGTAGGAGTCATATTTGGTCTCTTTTCTTCCACTTCTGGAGCAACTAATCCATTTGTAGGTTGCTGATCTATTTTACGCACTTTCACCATAAACTTGTTCCACAGAGTCAATGATTTGACTGTTCTTCCACCCGTGCTTCACCTTGAATTTGATGTTGGCCTGGCCCCGGCAGATGCCATGGTGCATGAGCGGTTGTTGCTTTTAAACAGCGCCCCGCGTTTGCAACGTTAATTTCAAGGTTAATTTAAAAACACGTTATAAAACAGTGATACAGGACTGTTCTGGTGCACTGGCATCATATTCTTGTCATATAGAATTATCTGTTATGTCCATTTTCAACGAACTTTTTGATGCCCCATCGTACACTTGGACGAGCGCTGCATATACGCTCCACATTGCAAGAAAATTGTACGCGTAATGTAGCATCATGGCGATAACTGATAACGTATCTCAACTACAACCAACTGTCTAATGATTACCACATTGAGCTCAGGCTTCACTACACGGAATTTCTTGTGACTTTCCGTAAGACTTGAAACAAACATAAAACATATAAAACTCATTGTATTTTTCTCGAACTATTTAGTCAAATAATTTTTGAGGTCATTCATGTGTGATGCTTAATTATTCACTATTAAATGCGTCTTACATTCATGCAAGGAATATCCATATGATCAATCTAGCTTTAATGCAATATAGATATACATCCTTCACACGTATACAATGGATGTTACTCCGCCAGTCTGACCGATTTTATCGTAGTAATTTCATTTCGTTCTAAAATAATTGCCTATCACATACTAAATCACGATACTTCACTGACAACAAATTGAAAAGAAAATATACCGAGCATTTGTTGAAAATTTTTTAAAATTCTAAAGCGGAACAGAGACCTCCAATCATCAAGCGTTTGTGGTGACAGCACATTAAATATCGGTGCAAATATTTGGTGCGTCTGGAATCATAGGAATTTATGAGACTTATAGCCATCCGGAATCATAACGTATACCCGGAATCATAACGCATACCCGGAATCATAACGCATTCCCGGAATCATAACGCATTCACAATCGCCACCCACCGAAATGGTTTCTTGTTCACAATTCACTGTATCGCAGAGAGTTCATACGAGTTTTGAGTTCTTGCCATAAAACTCAAAATGAACATTAGGCTTTTTTTCTGGCAGAGGAGTGACAGGTAAGAAATTTATAGTGGCCGATGAAAGCTTGTGTCAATTTTATTGGCTGCGCCGTGGACCTTTTATTGTGTTCCATTTCTGACCTCACTCAGCCTATAAATAAATTAAATCAAAAAGTATAACGCAACAAATTTTCTGCAAATGACAATTCATCACCCGCAAGCGAAGCATTGTTATGATTAATATCTTATAAAAACTAACGCTGACGGCTAAAAATTGAATTGCACCGCATAAAAAATACTAAAAACTCTTATTGAGTTTCCATTTGCCAGCTCGACCTCTAGCGCTGCCTGAGCAGCACGAGCCATCTGTGCCAGATTGTCAATGCGATATGCTATCCGTGGCACAGCTTCGCTATTAATGATAATGAGGCTTTGTCCGTGTGGAATTAACACGTGTTACAAGTATACATACTTCAGCGTACTACTGTACTTCAGCTTCACTAATGGTGGTGCTACATCATTTCAACCACTTCTTATGTGTGACAATTTTCGTATGAATTTTCCTGTTAATTGATCGTGCTTTAATAAACTCATGAAAATAAATAATAAATAAATAAATAAACTTCAAACGCGCCATTCAAACAATAATGAATTACTGCGGGAAAAGAGTTTCCTGGAACTGTTATGGATCCTAATATCTTAATATATGTTATAGATCCTTTCCTAGCACTCTTATGTAATACAGGAATTGACAGGCATGTAATAGCTACAAATTATGAACGATTTACTCCAGATGCCTAAGGTAATGTATATTCCACCTATATCGTGTTTTAAATCCTGATGTTGTTTCGAACTGTACTCATCAAAATCCTTCACTTGGCTTTGCAAAGTTTCGACCACTATGAGAGATTCCGTTTCTTCCTCTAGCTAATTCCTCGTTGAGAATTAAAAAAAAGAGCACGATATTTTGATTGTCGTGAAAGGCTCGATTGCGGTACAATAATTTAATCTCGTTTAACTGCCTGTTCGTTTCAAAATTGGATGAAGAAATTAGCGGCACATACAATGCGTAACAAATTACTTTACAGGAATACAAAAATTGTACGGCTATGTTATAATTTCAAGGTTAAAAGATTTTTACCTCGAATGAAGTTATAATTCCCAATTCTTCCTTGACACCATGTAAGAATGTTCTATGTTATAACGAAAGAATTAAACTACCTCGTCATAATTATTTGAACGAAAACGACTCATTTAACAACAGTTTACTTCTTTTCCCGCAAACAAATCATTTTATTACAATTTCTACGTCATGTGAACCTCTTGGTCGCATATTTTTAACTCGCCACAGGAATCTCGTATGACATAGACGTGACCACACCTATGTTATTTAACTCGCCATGCATATTATTTAACTTGCCACACGATCGACGAATTATTGCCACACGATTAATGAATATAAGATCATGGAACAGAAAAAATCTATAAATAGCTATTACAAGTAATGTTCAGCAATTAGATTTCCGATTCCAAGATGACAAATCAACGCTAACAAGTAATAAGTAAGATGGTTCATTATCGGTACAATTAGTTAATTATTTGCTCTGTTATTTTCAGTAGTGAGCATAAAATGGGTCCAGCAAGTTTGCTAAAAGGAAACTTTCTTAAACTCATGAAATTCTTTACTTCAAATAGGAAAAGTGAAATAATATCAATCGGAGACCAATAAACGTTATGAGCTGAAGAGCATCCAGACGAACGAGTCTATCGCACATAGCAATAACATTGTCTTTGCAGTCAATATTATTTCAGAACCTGTAAGGGTTTAGTTATGATGGAGTTCAAGGGGTACGTTCTCGATCATTATTACATCGTTTCATAGGAGAGTGGCGATTCAAATCTGTTGCGAAATGCATGTCACATAGAATAGAATAGAAGTGTCGGCGTTGAAGAAAATAGAATATAATAGGCCCATACAGTAATTATATATCCATGCACTCAAACCCAACAATTTCATTAGGGCATAAATATAGTTTCTAACTTCTAATGCAAAATAAAATTATTTTATAGAATAAAAGTGGTCAGTTTAAATTTGATTTTTTTATGGTATATATATTCGAATCTGAACAAAGTTTCTAAATTATCGAAGTAAGTAATCACGCAAATAAGGGAGCACTCGTCTCGCCACCACAACTCGATTGGAGCTGCCACCTGACTGAGATTGACCGCAGCAGCAGTGATCCCTCACACACGTGGACACCATCGATTGTCCGAGTACACCTGCGCTGCCTAACCCGGGCACACTTGTGGCAGATCAGCTAGTACAAAGATTGACGTCTCTGCGGCATCGGGCACACAGCAGGGACCAAAAATATCAACACTGAGTCCAAATACCACTTTTGCTCAGTTTCCTAATACTTTAAGGATGAACACGATCAAATTTCGTTTGAAGGTTTGTGGGTAGTACCACTTATTGGATCTTTGTACCACTTATTAAACAAATGATAATCATTAAATATACATGTGATCTTCAAACACCAATAAAGTTTCCGCGAATAACACTCATCGGTCAGCCGATAAAAACAAGTAAAAAAAAACACTGGCTGGACAAGCGAGCACCGTCTGCGAGTACCGATGTGCGCTGCCTAGCACCAGTCAATACACGCCGTGCGTCACGCTGCCCTGTTATCGGACACAGCTGCGCCCAACGCTGGCTCCTCCTAGTATCAAGTGCACGACTGCACTCTAACTGCATTGTCTGAACCACAAGTAGATGAATGAGCTGGCAACTCTTGCAGTGCAGCACGTTATTTAGGAAACGAATGCAGATTCTGAGAAAAAACTATTTACCTACTACCAGGAAAACGTCGTGGACAGAAAATTCGGATTATCGTTGGCTAGTATCATTGATGCAATCAAGACAATGATATGCCAAACTTTACGCAAAGCTGAAACTGATGTTTACGTTGAACACTTGATTTATGTGTTCTTCATTCATCATTGAAACTCATGATTTTTTCTGTTTATTCACGTTTAGAGACCAAAAGCTACCAGTAACACATCAGGCAATTAGTACACGATGGCAGAGCCCCTTGATGCTGGGCGCTGGCATTGAACTTGGACCACCAGATCTAACCTGGCGAGACTTCGGGAGACAAGCCATCACGTGCTACGAAGCTACACGCGTCGTAAACCACATACGTGTACCGCAAAACGGGGTGACTTTCACCGTTTGACATTTAAGAAATGAAAGCCTTTTACTAAAAAAATTTCTTGCCTCATAAAAATTGTATTCATGGCTCTTCAAGTACCACAGGGAAACCTACAAATGCATTAGAGATATTTTTATATATTTACTATGTGACAAATTTTATCACAAAAGGCAAGCGCTAAAAGTGATCAAAGTTTAGGTTTTACGGTATCGATTCGAAAGTTGGCGACGGAAGGGTCACAAAATGTGGACGATTGTGGAACTGAGGGGTGGACACAAATTTTGGTGTCCATTTAACCGTAGACTTGTTTCAAACTGTGAACGTGCCTTGGGCTAAGCAAATGTCTGTAACAGTGCACGTGCGAAATATAAGAAACAACGAAAATATAAATGTTTTTATTTCCGTCCCTGCGAAGTTTGTACAAAAATTGCGTGTAAAACGCCGAAAAAAATATGCTCATAGTTAGCAGAAGGTGAAAATTAAATCACCACTGAAAAAATAACTTTAGATCTTCATTCTACTTCTGAATTACTGATCTCTCAGAAAACGAGAACTTAAAACCGATAGTCAGAACAATAAATCTTTAAAGTGAGAGTGGAAGTTGATAATGCCATCCACCAATTACCTCTGGAAACTTATATATTAGTGAACTATATCAATGTCTTTATGGACGAAATTATCCTTTTCTGATGCAGGCTACTCCTTACTTTGTAGTGTAATGACGTACTGAAACACTCAGTTTGAAAAAGTCAACGAGAATATAGGGCAGGAAGTAAAAATATAAGGAATAAATGGTTTTTCCTCAGAAAATTACTAAATTCTACAGACAACAAGCAGAGTGATGCACGTTCAGTCATAAACCTTCATTGACCAGTAGTGGACTATATGTGTAGATACTTGCCAACAAAAAATATTAAAATAAAACCGAAACGAAGCAAAAAAGTATTTTCTAGTAGATTTATGATTCCATTAGTGAGATGTAAATCTCAAATAATGCAGTTCAAGTTAATATGGATGGTTAATGCTTACCTACCTATCTCATAAACTACACTGAATAAAGTATTGTATGAACGACATGAATCCAAGTTTGAACAGGAAATGGCAGTTTATCTTCATTGGAATGAACTATTAGTTGGGAAACTTGGAAGGATTGTAGGGACGAGAAACTTTCTCGTTCCTTCGTTTTATCTCTTCTTGGTAATCAAGGGCAGGTTCCAAATTGTTCTCCGTGATGGCATCCCGAACTGAACACCCCATGTAGGGGCACCTGCAACAATGTTACCATTTTTAATATTTCACATATATTACGATTTCTTGTCTAACAACGGATCTATAACGAAAAATACTCCAAGCAGGGAAACCACGACAAGAAAAAGACACTATGGTATAACTGGTCAATTTCTATAATCTTTCAGCAATGAGTTTTTTGGCCCCCGCGGCCCCATAATCTTGCATTTTGTTTTTGGGGGGGGGGGGGGAAGCTCTCACTCCCAAGACTGAGGGTGAGAGATTCTAATAATTCTGAATATAGAATATATTTATATAATGAATTATTTTCTAATAAATGACTGCTGAAATGAATAACATATAGACTGCTGATCAACATCATTTGTTTGAGAATGTCATTTTAACATTTTGTAATGGCTAATAACAATTATCATCAAATGGTAGTCGCCAATTTATAGCCGTGCCAATTTACATAATAGCTAAGCTAGGAAATCGGTAGGCAAATACATTATAGTCTGCTCCTTGGAGCATCCAACCTACTTTAGTACAGTGATACATAAATGAATTCCACAACTTTTCAATTTTTTTTTTTTGGTAATCTGCATTTCTGAATAATTCAGCTACTCTGCACTACAAGCTTTTCAAGGAGCATTGCTAATTACCATTCTTTGACTCCAACACAACCGAAACATGTATACACAATCCTCACCTGAACCCTTTCCTTCCATGTTTTTTGATCATCTGCTTAATAGAGTCTCTGTCATAGACATGACCACAGAGGAATCCTCACCTGAACCCTTTCCTTCCATGTTTTTTGATCATCTGCTTAATAGAGTCTCCGTATATGACATGACCACAGAGGAATCCTCACCTGAACCCTTTCCTTCCATGTTTTTTTATCATCTGCTTAATAGAGTCTCTGTCATAGACATGACCACAGAGGAATCCTCACCTGAACCCTTTCCTTCCATGTTTTTTTATCATCTGCTTAATAGAGTCTCTGTCATAGACGTGACCACAGAGGGTGTGCCGAACAGGGTCTGACATGGTCAGCTTGGTTATGGGGTCTATGATGTTCAAGTCATGCACTGACGACAGCATCTCCAATTCAGCAGATGCTGATGCAGATCCTGAAGGTTTAGGAGATTTGTGCTCTCCAGTTTTTTTGGCAGCTTCTGTGGAGTGAGCAAACAACTTGAATTTATGAGCGATATTAAAAATTTAATACCAACAAACAGTACGGTATTTCGTCTCAAGTTTGCATAACACAAAGATGTTGACAAAAAATGATTTATACAATGATTTACTTTAATTTCTGCGACAAATTGAAACTACGGAATCCCTATTAGAGTGGTAGCAGAGAAGCATTACGTACCAGCTTGGAGAATGAGCTTATCAATGTATTGGAGATCTGGGTTAGAATCGGTAGATTTTTTATTCTCTTTTCTCCGTTCTTCTAAGACAGCTTTGACCATGTCAGAATGAATCTAGGAACAGAAAAAATTTCATACTTGGCTTAAATTTTTTATACCGTATTAGGCCAAAATTAAAATTAAGCTTATTATTTGAAGCTAAGCCATTTGCACAAATGAAAATTTGAGAAAAGAGTAGATTGTAAAATTTTATAATCATGTAACTATATACAATTTTGAAAGTTGCAGCTGGATTAAATTAAGCACTACAAATTTAATACTTGGCGAAATTCTTCCAAAGGTCCAATAGGGTCATTAGGATGCTCTCTCTTCCAGTCTTCCTTCCATTTCTTCACAGCAGCCGCACCTTCAGCTATCGCTACCTGGCACAACCAAATCACATTATTAATAAAATGAAGAATAACAAAAAAAAAAAAATACTTCCGTAAGGACTTACTATATACGTAGTTGTCTAACAACAATGAGAAGAGCACCATTCATGCCTACTTGGGAGAACCCTTCCTATTTAAGCTTACCTGCTGATCTATTAATTTCTGCTCTGCTTCTATCATGTCCATCGTTGTCTTCCGCAAGGATTTCAGCAACTTTAACTGCTCATTCGCTGCAAGAAAAATTGATAAGGTTGATGAATTTGATTACAACAGTAAATGAAAATTGGTTGTAAGCAATTGTATTTTTATCTCATCAATTTATAAATACTTGAATATATGTTTTTTGAAAACCTTGCCACAACATTCATGTTTACTACCCATTTAAATGTATTTTTTATAAAAAAATCTCAGAGGTTTAGGCAGTTCAGGTAACAAATCTTCAATAATACTAGAGTAGCGGTAGCAACACTTTGGGCCTAAAATCCCAATCTTGCTGACACAATTGCTAAACTCTGCATAGTGAGTCCTGGACTTACTCTAAAGTTTAATAAAAATAAATTAAATTAGGTATTTGAACAGAGACATAAAATAAGCAGTTAAGAGTTACAATGTTGTTTTACAATGAATTCTAAGAAATTTATAGGTAGATTGATTCAAGTAGTCTTTAAACAACTGATGAGAATATTAATATTATGAGTAAAATAGTTGATGACCTTAGGAAACCTTTTCCAAAAAAAAGCAGATAAAAATGATAATACAGGTTATAAAAATTCTCATTGGAGACATCTGATTCATTTGACTCACCATTTTTGAAATCAGACTGTACAAAATTTGCACACTGTCTTATGTAACGCAGGTTAGCTTCAATTGCAGACATGATTGCTGCAGGATCGTAGAATGGTGCTAGGCAACTATCAATCGGTTCTTTCAAAAAGTCAAAAATAAAGTTATGAAAAACTCTCATACTCAATTATCATCATTAAAGAAATTGTTTTGATGTTGATTCATCATTACTATACTAGTCATTATAAGTGAGAGCCAGAAAGTGATGCAACCAATTAAGTTAGCAACAAAATAAATGAAAAATAATGATGCTTCTTCTTCTTTCTGGTGTTTAAAAATTCAAGGGTGAAGACTTTTTCTTCATGGAGGCACTGTATGTTTCAGATGAGCTTCAAAAATGCAACATTGCAGTCTCATTACTCTCATAGACTTGTAGCAATTCTTACCATAATGTAACACTTACCGGTATCTAAAATTAAATAGTTCTTTGTAGGGAGTCATCCTTACCATCAATAATACAATTATAGGTATGTCACTACGCAGCATTTACTGCTCTTAATTCACAGTAAATACCTAAAAACTATTGAACTATGCATATAATAGTATTAATATGGGTCACAAATAATATTTGCAGAGTTTGATTACTAAATAATAACAATGAAGCTGCTTCAATCTTGCTAGAAACTTGTGTTTCAGTATTGTTCCTAAAAGTGCTGTGGCATTGGCAATAATCTATTTGGAACAGTTTTACCTAATGGCAGCAGGAAAAATTGGCTGAATCTGCTCAATAAAAATGCCAAAACAAGCTGCAATTGAATAATTATTTGAAAATTTTGTAACATGCAGTACGTTAAATCAATTCAATTTATTGAATTGAATTTTATCAAATTCAATTTATCAATCAATTCAATTCAATTTATTTTTCAGGCATTGGAAAATACTACTAGTATAACTATAGACCTACTGGTAATGATTTTAGCCAGCCAATGCATTTAAATATAGGCTAAAAGCATCAAATTGGGCTGGAAAAAGGCAGTTCAGCAGGTGGCATCCTAGAGGCCAGCATTGTGGCCAGTCAGCCACTGCACTATACCTAGTGAGGAAAACATCTACTCTGCGAATGGTGACTGGATTTTTTGGGCCATATTTTTATGGATTTACAAGCAGTGATTCCATGTCTCTGAGCTATTAATATAGTAAAAAAAAAGAAAATTCCAGGCCATGAAAAGCCATTTATGAATTACAAACGCAAGTGCATATTCCGGTGCCCATATTACTCCAAATCTTTAATTTCAACCAAGAAAAAGCAACAGGAACACTTGTTGTCATTGTGGCAAAACAGAGATTTTTCAGAATCAGTTCATTTTTAATTTTGTCATCTAACAATTTTAAACCAATTTCTTATACATGATAATGCTAGTATTCACGATACTTTGCTGGTCTATGGACTCTACGCTACTCAATTCATAGCCTAGGACTCAAAATTGAACTTGAAGAGTCTAAAAAACCCTCTGCTTTGCTTGCCACCATGCTTGTCTTCACTTTAGAGGCAATTAAACATGTGATAATGTACTGTTTATGTTAAAAAAAATAATGCAGTTGAAATGCAACTCTGACCGTGACCAGCTGACTGCAACAATGCAATTGTGATTAGGCTATCAATGAAACATTTGTGGTTCACTCATGCAGGCTATTTTGGGCTCTTGGCAGGAGCTTGGTAGAGTTGGTACTGATTCTACTGAAGTTGAAAATTCCATAAAATGACACATTTGTGAACTGCAATATTTTTCAATGTTGTTGTTGTTGCCCCAGCCGAGCGCGTCAGCCGGGCTGGTCCAGACGGGGCCGGAGCCAACCAGCCACTTGAACGGGCCTTTGCCATAGGTCTATGATGTTGAGGGTCGTAGGATTGCTGATGCAGTTAAAAAGATGAGGCACGTCGTCCGGTAGAAGACGGCAATGTGGACAAATGTTGTTGATGTTGTTGTCAATGTGATTTTAATATTTTTCAATCAAACATTTCATTGGAGCTGCAAGATTTCATCCCTACTGAAATTACAGCAATCCCTTGAATTGATTAGCACGGTTTTGAATACCGCGGTTTTGATTAACGCGGAAAAAAACGTTCGATGGAGTAGGCGCGCCGCTACTGCCAGTACAACACAAAAACTGCGAATGTTCTGAAAAGTAATTCAGATTGTTTTTTCACTTTCGAAACATAATTCAGTGCGTAAAGGGCTAGTTACTTGTTAGCCTTCAACTGGTCAAGGTCGCTGCCATATCTACTGCTCACTTTTATCAAACTACCTAATTTTCCTTTCCTTTGCTATTTTTGGGGATTCATTATAATTATTACCATATATTCTTAAGTTTGATTAGCGCGGTTTTTCTTAATACGGTAAAACTCGGGGATTTATTAACCGCGTTAATCAAGGGATTGCTGTATATGAAACAGAGTGCATACTGGTAGGTAGAGAAAAAATTCCATGACTTTTCCATGACTATTCATGACCATCAATATCATTTTCCAAGACTTGAATAGACTCGTTTAGCATGACTGGAAGACTAACTGTGCATATTCCATCATCTTCAGATGATAAATAGCAAACGTGTAGATGCATTGAGTAGGCAGACACAAAGGAACAAAAATGACACAAATCTCAAAATCAAGCCCACACTCTTATTATTATGAATGCAATAGTGTCAAATGACAACAAATATTGAGTGATGCACACAAGATTGTACATGTCCAGGAATGTCAATAGCTCAATACAGTTTAGATCACTCTTCAACGCCACTACCCTAACATTCAACTGGCAGCTACTTCATCAACTTTTTCTTTAATGTTCAGTTCAAGAGTGCCTAGCTTTGTTTTCAAAGATTGCCTCATTCCGTTTAACACGTTGACTACGTATTGGTACATTATACATATGCGTACCACGAAATGTATTTCTCCAGGAGGTATTTAATTTGATTTGAAGACTTCGGGTATGCAGGTAGCACACCTCCCAGCCTAAGCACAACTCAGATTTTGATCACTCCACTTCACTTGTTGATTTCACTTTGTATTTCTCTTTCAGCACTTCCACCAACCAGTGTGGCAGTAAATAGTGAGGAGAAAAAGAAAAATAGTAATTAATCTCAAAGATAATTGTGCGATACGAGTGCCCAGATGAGTTGGATAAAAGCTGCAGAGCTGACCTTGAATCTGTCAGAATCAGGATGGACTCCTCCTTCAGAGATCCATTCTCAGTGACAAGTTGCATGGCCTTGTGTATAGCAAACAGCTCTGCACCAAGAACTCCAGGAGGTAGTGGTACATAATTCAGGACATTTCAGGTTGCCTAAAATCGGCCAAATCCGAGAAACAAAAAGGCCAAAAAAGGCCGATAATTCAATGTATGCTAGTTTATTTGTAGGTTCCGCTATAAAAATTTCTTTTATTTTCTTTTTGCAGTATTTAAAATTTAATTAGGAAGTACCCCTATCATAAATTTTAGCCGGCCAACGGAATTGAAAAAAAAACTAAATCACGGAATTTGTCCGAAAAAAATGACCGTCTGGCAACCGTGCTTAAAAAAGTACAAAAATTTAAATAATAGTACAAGATGGAGCAATCATAGTCAACATGTTAACTTTGCAATAATTTTCAAATCCCCCTTTCTCTTTATTGCTTCTGTATATTCATCTGCTGCTTGCTCAAGCACCTTGATGCCCTCCTCCGTACACCGTTTCTTCTTCAGTTCATCTAGCTCATCCAACAAAGCCTTAATCTTCTGGGTTTTCTGGGCATTTGTATTCTGCTCTTTCTCTTCTGCCAAATAAGTATTGTATGCTGTTTTGGCACTGCCAGCTGCAAGCAGCATCTTCTTGGTGACTTCTCCAGACCTGAGGCCAAGTAGACTCAGACACCTGTCCATCCTGCCAGGGAGCTCCCACAAAATCACTCACATTCTCCTGGAATGTCCGGTCTCGCAGGATCTCAGACAACACCACCACACAACCTACAACTCTGGAGCAACCCCCTGTCAGCAGGGCTGGAAAAGTTCTATTTTTTTTTCTCAGGGTTTCCACTTTGCAAACATGTCGTTTCATAAAAATTTCAACTTCCACAATCTGCAGTATATTTACTCTAATGAACCCACGTCCCACCTCCGCCATAATAACATACAGAATGTAATAACAACAAGTCAACACGACGGCCAAAACATTGACTAACCTAGCTGCAGTCACATCAGAGCAGTCAGACTGCATTATAACTTGTTTAGTATAGTAGTATCTTTGGCATTAAAGAATTGGCCTGGATAGGCCTGTCGCCGATTCTTGTGCTTTTCTTGACTAGACTGGCCTTTTGATCAGATCTTTTCAACAGACGGTAGATTTAAAATTGATTCTAGATATCAGTTGTTCTGTAGGGTACGAGGCATTTTAAGACTAAACATATGCTCTTGCATGGCCTTGTCTAGTCTGTTCTTGAACGCGTTCATACTCGGAGCATCAACAATATCTTCAGGGAGGCTGTTCCACATGTCAGTGACTCGAAGCGAGAAGAAATGTTGTCGCGTGGATAAGTTGCACCGCAGTTTTTTTAGTTTATAACTGTGGCCCCTGGTGTTGGTTCTTGTTTCAAATTCTAGTAATCCTTCTGGGACCTTGTACAAACCATGAGTATACTTAGAATAGAATAGAATAGAAGTGTCGGCGTTGAAGACATAGGCCCATGGCCTGTTGCCGATTCTTGAACTTTTCGTGACTTGATTCAATGACTTGATACTTCAATGAGGTCACCACGCAGTCGACGACAACGGTGACTGGGAAGCTTCATAATCTTCAATCTTTCTTCATAAGACTTGCTCTTTAATCCTGGAATTATCCTTGTTCCACGTCTTTGAACATTCTCGACTAAATTTCTGTCCTTTTCAAGTCTCGGTGACCACACGTTTCCAAACTCTAGGTTCGGGCACCGATTCGACACTTCAGGTTCGGGCGCACAACAGAGGTGAACAACAGCTTCATCATTTCTATATCTAGGTACTCGTAGGAGCTTCCGATCAGCCCAAGCAGTTTATTGGATGTATTAACTTGCGTTTCAATATCCCTAAAAATTTTAGCTCCTTGTCGACACAAACTCCAAGATTTTTTTCCACGCAAGACTTCTCAATCATAACCCTCTCGTTGCAACCGTGTTTTCTCATGCTGTAAGCTTGTTGTTCATTGTTCTTGCCGAGGTGAAGTACTTTACACTTGTCAGCATTGAAACGCAGCTTCCACGTATCAGCCCAATCAACTAAACTATCAAGATCATTTTGAAGTTGCATTTTATTTGACGCATCCTTAACTGTATTATAAACTTTTGTGTCATCTGCATACATGGAGCACACGCTTGACACTACTTCTGGTAGATCGTTTATAAAAGTAACGAACAAAACAGGTCCAAGAATGCTTCCTTGCGGTACGCCACTGCGCACAGTTACTCAGCCTGATATGGTTGGTTCCATTAATGCTGACACGTTGTGGGGAAATTCCTGATCCATTGGAGTACATTTCCCTCTATTCCCAAAGAATTCACTTTACGTAACAGTCGCTCATGCGGGACACTATCAAATGCCTTGGCAAAATCGAGGTGCAGTGCATCCACTGGCACACTTTCGTCCAGCAGGCGAGTTCAATTATTCAAGGTAGACAGGAGATTAGTGGTGCATGATCTGCCAGAAATAAAGCCATGCTGACAGTCTGATAGAAGATGGTTAACAGTCAAGTGATCTATAATCCTATCCCTCATAACTGATTCCATCACCTTACACACAACACTTGTGAGACTTACAGGACGGTAGTTTCCTGGGTTACTCCTGTCACCTTTTTTGAACAGGGGTGTCACTTGGGCTTCTTTCCAGTCGGCCGGCAAGGTTCCTTCAATTAAGGTTTTTCGAAAGAATACTGTTAAAGGGCCGGCCAGGACAGTTGCTAATTCGTTGAGCAATCTAGGGTGGAAACTTTCTGATCCAGATGACTTGTTGGGATTCAGAGAGACCAGGCACTTGAGAACCTCCTCTTCATGTATCTCGAAACTAGTTAACTTCGAGTCCACTGGTCGCTCCTCAATAGCTGGAATACTGTGCAAGTCCTCATCTGTGAAGACGCTGCTAAAGAACTGATTTAGAACATTGGCCTTGCCCTCGTCAGAAGATATCTTCCGTTGATTTACATTCAAATCAGCAATACCATCCCTTGTCTTGCACTTTGAACTAGCATACAAGAAGAAGGCTTTCTGGTTCTTTTTCGAGTTTTTGGCAACGTCTCTTTCAAAACTTTTGACTGCTGTGCGACAAGCTTTTTTGGCTTGATTTCGAGCTCTTGCATACAGGTTATACGCAGCATCGCTACAAGTTCGTAAATAACGCTTGTAGGCTTCCTTCTTTGCCTTTAGCTTTGCTTTAACCGTATTGTTCATCCACTGTACTTTTCTGACTCCACCGAGCTTAATCTTAGGTACACACGCATCAACTGCAGACATAACCGTGTTCTTGATGAATGACCAAGACTCCGCCACATTCATGTTCATGATACAGTCCGAAATGTTCGCTGCACTCACTGATTCACGAAGTTTAACATAGTCGCCTCTCGCAAAGCTGAAACGTTCACGCTTCCAAGGCGTCTTTTCCGTATAGCACTTAATAATGAAAAACAGTGACTGGTGGTGACTTTTGCCTAACAGAGCCTCGTGGCAAAGCTCTTCTGCCATTGATTCTTCACTAGTAAACACTAGGTCTAGAGTATTTGGAGTCTGATTACCTCTAAAATGGGTTGGCTTTGTGATGTACGTGCTGGTATAAAAATGAGTCTCTCACAGACTCCATGAACAAGGACGAAAGGTGATTCTCATCCCTTGGAGAGGGAGGATTCATGTGCCCAGTCTATTTCTGGATGGTTAAAGTCACCAACGATTAACGTATGCGACCTGTTGAAAGTCATGCTTGGTAGAAGACTGTTCAGTACTTCATCGTTATCAGAGGAACTGTTGGGTGATCTATACAGGACACCTATAAGGAGGCTATCCCTACTTTTTAAAGAAAGCTCAAACCACACTGATTCTCTAGCTGATTGGTGCTCTGCTGATAACTTAACTTGTTGGGCCCCATAAAAGGTTATAACCCACAGAGTTTAGTTGCTGCTCAAGTGAAGACAAGTGTTATAATTTGCCAATAACCGTCAGAATAAATCACATCTCTTGGAAATTTATGGCCGGACTTGCGAGTTGCGGCCGGTCTCGAGCCTCGAGGAAAATCTGCAACTTCAGTGAACAAGGAATTTCTCCCAAAGCAATGAACTTAGCTCAATGAAACTTAGTACTCCGGTGCATATTCGCACAGCTGAATTATGGATGGAGCCCAGTACAAATAGTGTTGCTTTACTGGCGTATTGGTAGGTATATATTGCAGCCGTAGTCTAACTTAAATCTGATCAAAATTTGGAGAGTAAATGCTTAATGCGTCTTAAGGTAAACTGATCTTTCGTGCCGGTCTTTCTTCGATATAAAAAGTAAATGAAACGTTGGATAGGTATAAAACTTGCCGAGTCCAAAGAAACTTTTGCCTTTTGATAAGTGGTAAATAAGTGGAGACATAAAATATATTAGGGTAATAAATAAATTTTCTAACAAAAACGCTTCTTTTGTATTAATAAACTCCAAATCAAACTCAGAATGTCCTGCCACGTTTTACAGAAAAACTCCGTTCTATTGAATGGGAATTGAACTAAACAGGCGAGGGTAATGAACTAATGAATGCGCGTTGACTTAGCTAGATTATGATTAAAATCCGAAATTTAACAAATTATTCATACAAAAGTTGACCGAATCAACGAGGCCAGGAAGTCGAGGAATGTCGAGGAACATAAATTCGCATGCAGTCTTGGTCCATAGTTTGGCTTTGGGGTACAAAAAGCTACCTCCTCCCAAAGCAGACACCATGATCATATCAGGCATCAAAGCGATGTACGTATTATCAACGAGCATTTTAGAACGATACAGTTAAGTTGTTGAGGACGATTAAATCTCTAAACCATACTTCTACTACAATATTTCGTAAATGGACACGGTTATGGTTGTATTGCCAAAATAAGCTTGATGTCGTCATCAAGAATATTGGTGGTTCTTAAAAGGGGCAATTGCTCATGACTGTGTCTATGACTATGAATTGACGTTAATTCTAGAGAAAAGTGCTAATAAATTTGAGAGGCATATTGCTGAAATGTACATAAAAAAAAAGAGTTCCAAGACGGGTAAATATTTCACACTAAAAAAATTCAGTTAGTAAAAAACAGCAGGTGCACGGAGAGCACAATATGCTAACTACACTGCCCAGTTTAGTCAGACTTCTCCCTGGGAGCGGGATCCTTATGGTGCAAGAACACGAAGGAGAAGAGGAAGACGCCGAGCATCATGCTCGCCGCCGACGCGTAGTACGGATACGCGCACCAGATGAAACGCTCGTACTGCGTGTGCAGGAACGGACGAACCGCAACCTGTGGTGAACATACACTGTAAGTTTGTCCTTTAACTCCTATCCATTCCTTAATAGCATGCCAGTACATACAGTTTCACAAAATGAAAATAGGCTAGTAAATCCGTGGTCTACGCCAGTGTAGACGACATCAAGCAACAACATGAACACCTTGGTTTGGAACTGCGGCTTTACTGTTATTTGTGAATGAATTCGAGCTCGATATAAGCTTGTGCAGTAAAATGTTATTGCAGTAGATGCGTTGAAGGCAATTGAAGGAATAACGGAGTGAGAGAAAGAATAAGTCGGTCAGAATTAAGAGGAAAATTGTGATTTTTGAGGAAAGATCATTTGATGGTTGAGGAACGAACCTCAACCATCAAAGTTGATAATTTTTAAAAAGTTCGGGACATCGATTTCACAACACAAGTTGATCTACGTCGAAAATCATTTTATCTCATAGACCTATAACCGTGACACATCAATCGACAGGAATTCACAACAGCGTGAAACCAGACAAAATATTTGCGAGATCGAGTTGTTAAATTTATTATTTGCTTGAACAACTCAGCCCCTAACTTAGAAAAAAAAGAAATGAAGCTAACTATTCGATACTTGATGATTCGATATTGACTCAGTAAAAAGTGAATTACATAAAGTAATGTCTTACTGAGGATTTATGGGGTAAGCCGGTTCGTTATCGGGCCAGAATATTAACGGTACGTCAACTCACTTGAGTGGAGTGGTATAGTCTGGTGTAGCCAACTCTGTTGTACTCCACCTTGAACTGATACACGCCGTACACGTCAGGCACCTGCACAGGAACAGGCAGTTAGTTCACTGATGACTACAGCCAGAGAAGCGGCAAGATTTCAATGACGCTATTTAAAAAAATGTATATATATATCTATATCTTCTGACAAAGAATGGATAAGATTGAAAAAGTGCTCCATGAGATGCTTTCATGAAACCACTGAGCTATTTCGACATCTAGGCCCAATATTTGAATATAAAATTATTCAATAAAATGAAAAAATGAAGAATTGAATAATATTTCTAGCTTCATGCATGAACACAAACCTAAAATTCATAAGGATTGTCAATCATATTAATCAATAACAAACAAAATTCAGCCCACCTTGAAGCGCACAGAGAAGCGGCCAGAGTCGGAAGGCTTGAGCGAGGTGCGCACGAAGGGATCAATGCGCACGAACTCGACCTGTAGGTCGTTGGTCTTGAAGGGCTTCCACTTGCCGTCCTCGAGCAGCTCGACTGTGATGTGGTACTCCAGGTCGTCCTTGATGGTGTACTCAGACGGAGGTGAGTTCTCGCCAACCTGGGTATGGACAAAATCCGTTCAATGGTAACTCATTCTGGCAATTAGCATCCAAATACGATAGTTGCTTGTACCAATAATGAATACGATGAAATTGAAGAAGTGTTGTGACAACACACAACTTCTAACTTTTCAGTTGATGGAATTATATATTTTCTTGTATTAATTAACTACGTTTGACAGATGATGGATCGATATGAAAAAAGAGACAGAATGATGGCCTCTAATTTCAATAGGTTATCAAACCTTTAATTTAATACGGTACTATATCTTCCTATTGAATTATCATAATCTTTGAGTATAAGTCATATAAAATAATTTAGATAACAAGCTTAATTCAGACCTTGTTGTGGGTGACATCGACGACCCTGATAACACCAGCCTCCTTGAGCGCCCACTTGGTCACGGCCTCCACCACCCCTCCGTTGCCGGATGTTGGGTAAAATGAACCCTGCAACAGGATAAAGCACTCAACTCCTGTGAAAATAACAACCTAATAGGTTTGTAGGAGGCTTTATGACCATGGAAGCCTTGAAAAAATTTTCACCAATGGTACAATCTTTAATAGCGCAAGTCATGATCTTGATTGCGAGTTTTCAGGCTGTCAACTTGATTTACTTAAAAACGAGAATAAAGGACAAAAAAGCAAGTCATAATGCTGTCTAACGACGTCAGGGGTGGCTATTATAACAAGAAGACGGAGCAAAGACACGCAGCGAGACGCGTTATCGCAGTGGGGATATTGGCAACGCTTACAGATATAACTAATGGCGAAGCCCGTCACTTAACCAGGAGTGGCACGTATGGACTATCTCGTAATCGTAAGCGAGGCGCGCGAGGTCCATCCACAGGTATGGGTGAGGCGCGCGTGAACAATCAGTTGGCAAGTTTGCGCCTTTATTGTGTTATAAAAATGCTTACGTCAGCCGTGGTGACGGCGGCGGAGATGAAGGCATCAGAGAAAAACTCGAGAGAGCCTGAGACGAGGACACGAGCGTTGTTGCGCGCCTGCAGGGCAGCCAGCAGCACCACGCTCTCCCCTGCACACATACACTCACTGTTATTCAGTGCTCTCACGAGGGTAAAATTAGTGGATTTATTCATCATAGTAAACTAGAACAATTATGAACAAGGGCAAGAATAAGCAGGTACTATACTATAGTAAATAATTACTTTACCGTCTTATTGAAAAAATGCCCGAAGAAATCAAAATTAAAAAATTTACTACTGTTTGAGATAACTGGTTATAAAACAGATTGTGCATTTCCTAGAAAAAGCATAGAAAGTAAAGGAATGCCAACTCCAAGGTATAAACAGAGTTGGAAATCTATGTTATGACATGATGACAAATTGGAATAAGTAATCATCACTCAGCCATAGATAACCTAATATTTTAAAATAATGAAAAATGTTCAATTTTGCAGAATTTTAGAAATAATATCCTGACTTATAGCAGGAGTTTCAATGGAAAAACACAGAAATAGTGAATGATCACTCACAGCTTGATGTACAGCATTAAGACTCGGTTATTATTAAGGGATAATGAAGTGATGAGAGAAAGACAAGTTAGCCGCACCGGTGGCGTGTGGGTACTCAGTAATGGGCTCGGTTGGGTTGTGGCAGTAGGCCGTGGACGAGGCCTTCAGCACAGGCAGGATCAAGGGGTTCTCAGGGTCGGTGATGAGACCCGTGCCTCGGTACAGCAGCGGGGCGGACGGCTTTTGCCCCACCACCAGACTGGACTGCAGCAGACCTGACACTGGCGCTGTCACCAGGGTGTGCTGATCCAGAGGAATCATAAATAATAATAATAACGGTTTCAGCGTTTATTAGGCCATAGGCCTGTCGCCAATTCTTAACATCGCAGAACATTCACAACATTTTGCGGTCTCGAACTTGCAACTCACTGCTACAATTCTGCTGTGCTTAACCGCCCGGCCTCCTTGCCGATTCTGACCAGAAACTGGCGCACAGAGCTGGGATCGAACCCGCACCTCTCTATTGCGTCAATCTTGGTACTCTGAACTGTAACCACTGGGCCACCTTGCCAGTATTTGTTGCCAAAGTTACTGCGAACTGTGAAGCTTATATTTGAACGTAAGCCATTTGAAGCACATTTCATTGATAATTCCTAAAAGAGGGATCTTTCCTTGGGTGTACAAAACAAGATATCTAATAGGTTCTGTGAAAAATGAAAGTAATCAATACAAAAATTTTAAATTTAGCTAGTTAGATTCTAGGGCAATAAAAAAAAATGTTCATGGAGCTATATAAATGTTCATTAACCTGCCCATCATCAGCTCTTGTGTCGTAGTTGAGGTGGTCAATGACTGCCGCGTCCTCCTCGTCCATCTCCACACCAACTTCGGTGGACAGCTCACGAATGAGATCAGCAGCATCAGTGGAGCCTGCCACGATCAAGTTGCCACCTTCATCAACGAACTCAATTATGGCCTGAAAAATAAACCAAGTCAGTAGAACCCTAGCAACGAATTTGCTAAAGATCTTCATCAATAACACCAATGATGGTATCACAGTAAGCAAGTCGTAGAACATGCCTATAAAGTTGCTATTTTTGTCAGGAAACTCTATGCCATATTGAATACTGAGCCTTAACAAGGGATAGAATTCAGAGGCATTTCATCAGAATCTTATGGAGAATACGTGTTGCTGAGATTCAAAAATCTAATCTTATAGGTAAAACTTGATGAACAAAGGAAATTATGGATAAAGTACGTAGGTATATCAAAAGTCATTTTTTTTCTGCATATACAACAGAAAAATGTGAAAAATTCACAATTTTAATAATAAGAAATGCATTGACCATTTTGGTACAATGAGAAGTTGGTAAGCAGAGTTTTAGAGGATCTCATTGGTAGCTCTGGGGCATTCATTAATTTAAAGATGCATGGCAACACTGCAAATTATGTGCATTTTGTCTAGGTTGATCAAAGTCTAGCAAAGTCAGAATACCAATAAAATTAAAACTGCACCGCAGTGGTACTGATACAGATACATGTATATAATCAAAAACTTGTGTTGGTCTGAATGCTAGTGGTAGAAAAATATTTATCAGATTTAGAAGAGGGAACCAAGCAAGTAAATCTATCATGCATTACAAGGCAATGTAAAAATGACTAGCTGAGGCTGGAATGTTACCCATACCTCAACACTGAGTGCCCCACCAAACTCTTCAACCCCTGGAGCAAAGAGAATGAGGTTATCGTAGAGGTATTCTCCATATCGCGCCAGCTGTAGGGACGGCTCATCAGCTGACTTGATGGTCAAGTCATGGCCACGATCTGCAGGACAAAGCAAATGCAATTGAGTACGGTACATGAGGTGGGTTATATCAAGAGACTTGTGCATTTATTTGGTGCCTGTTTTTAATCATTTGTAACACTTATGCTTTATAACTAAGGACAATAATAAGAGGAAGAATATGAAATAAAAGTAATTTCAGTAGGGATGTATGAGACAACATGGACAAAATTCTCTTGCAAGAAAACATAAGCTCTGATTCAATTTTATCATTTTTTTACAATCAAACAAGGTATATTTCCAAATCTTCGCTGATCAGACAAGATTTTAGAGAAGATGAAATGCTTGTGCCAGCAAATCATTATTTGCTCATTAACCTTTTTTCTCTAAATATGACTAGACTAAAATAGGATCAAGAGTAATGCTATGTCCGGTATGGAATACTCAATGTATCTAAGAACTTAATTATTTATGCATTTATTTATGGTAATCAAATCTTAACAGGAATAATAACTTACCAGTCAGTGCTTTCAGGAAGATGGAATGGGTTTCCCTGGTAGCCAGGGTATCTACTAACACCAGTGTTTTGGTGGCTGAAGCACAGCCTACGAGTGTCACTAGGAATAAACTTGACAGCCACATGGTCAACCTGCAAGAAACTCAAAACAATGAATATGATAAAGGAAAATATTTCAACAATATTTCTTGAAAAACACAAGAGAATATTGAAAATGAGTAGCATTTTGACTATTTTACCCTTGCACCCCAGCATAATTAGTTAAAGATCAGGGTATAATTTTGTAATTATTCATCCTGGCTATACCCAGATAACAACAGGTCTCTTGGAACCAGGATTTGCCTATGCTTTACCATAAAAGTTATAGAATGCAAAAATCAAATCCTAATTCTGTGCAACTCAGCAACTGCTTCTGAACAAAACTGGAATTCTGAGTTTTTCAAACTCCTTAGAGTTTATGTATATAACAAACAAACTTTGACTGAACTAAATGGGTTAAGACAAGGCCATGACCATGAAGCTATGAATTGGTATACATCTTTGTTGACTGAGATACAAATTGCAGATTTCAGGCTTTCAGCAACTGTCAAGCAGCACTGTCTGCATGCATTTGTTCTGAAACTTTAAAGTCACAAATGTTCAATACTGCATTGCAACTCAATTGTGCACTTTTATTTACAATTAGACAGGAGGTACATATATAATTCATCAGTATAGGTTGGAAAAATTTGTTCTTTTAAGCAGGTTTTGATGAAGACTGGACCAGAGAATATATTTTATTGACAATTTTCTTATCAGTTTTTTCAATAGATCAAACAATATTTTTGTTTGCACTGATAAATAAAAAATCAGGGTACTGATGGAAATTTTTTTTCTTTAACGTTTTGAATGTATCAATCATTCATTAATCATTATCAAGTTACAAGATACATTGAGTGATGGAATTTGAATCAACGTGGGTATAAAATCATGTAAATAGGTCATAGGATTAGGATACTAGTATTAGAAAATCAAAATTGTTAGAAATGACTAAAATATCCCAAAAATATCAAGAAATCAACAATTAAAACACTAAAAATCATTGCAAAAAACAGTCAATGTTCTAATATCATTCATCTACTAGCAGGAATCTTGCAGTTCCAAAAAATGGCATTCCTAAACCCTAATTCATATTTAATTGGTGAATGGTGACTTCTGTCTGATAACTCCAATTTTTCATTTTGGATATATATGGTTTGATTTCCAAATAATAGCAACAAGCTGATGCTGATTTGATCTTGTTAATAACTTTAAGGTGCCAGCCGTTGACATTGGAGGAAATATCCTGCTGTCAATTAGTACCGTAAAATGGGGTTACTTTGACCGGCGGGGTAACTTTGACCACTTTTCGTTTTTTTAACAAAAACCCCCAAAACTCAAAAACGATTTGACATAGAAAAATTTTGTCAATGGCCATCAAAGGCCTAATACTGAGGCTACGTAACACAATAGAAAGATTTAAAAAGTTTGCTTATCTAATAGGTCAGAAAATTAAAAATGTGACCTACAAAATAGAGCTATTACTTAAAGCCTGTCGGAGTACCCCCTCCAATTTTTTTATTTTTTGGTAAAATAACTCCAGGTTTTGATGCATTGTAGTAGAACTCTTCTAGTTACATATGCAAAAGACAAATTTTAGGAAAGTGTCATAGTTTGCAAATGGGGGGCGCTGCCCCCCCAATGGGGTAACTTTGACCACCTACCGTTAATGTCAGCCGTGACGGGGTAACATTGACCGGCTTGGAAATTAAGTTAAAATTACCATAGGTACCTATATAACATATTTTATGTTTGATACACCTATTAATATTTTTTTCTTTATGTTTCAGACTCTACAGAGAATTATATATGGTAATTTTAACTTGATTTCCAAACCGGTCAATGTTACCCCATCACGGCTGCCATTAGATGATCACATTTTGCCCATTTGGGGACAGCGCCCCCCATTTGCAAACTATGACACTTTCCTAAAATTTATCTTTTGCACATGTAGGGTAAACGCGGTATATTCCGACACATTAAGGACGCATCGAGAAATGAAAAACTATAAAAAACTGTATGCGTTACGTAAGTTCTGTTGGCTTCACGTGACTCTCAAAACACTGGACTACGCATCAGCAACGATGAAACGTCACAAAATGTTGCCATATTTATTAAAAAGCCATTAGAATGGAAACCTACCAAATCCCTATATTCCGTCACTGTGTGTGGCAATATTCGACACGTGGTGAGTCGTATTGCGTCAGCGCTTCAAATCTAACTGATACGTAATGCCGACATCCATGTGTTCGAATTCCGTTCGCTGTGTGAGCTGTATAGGGATACAACACTGCTTTGAATTAGAACACTAACAAATATTGAACACTACTTAATTACGTTTTAATTAACAACTATTAGGCTTTTAATTAAGCAAATTTCAATTTTTGTACAAAGCTTGGAACGATCTGTGTGTGTCAAATTCAAGTTGTGTCAGAATTAGTTTTCATGTGTGATGATGTGTCTAAATCCATTTCTCAACTTAATCATCTAGCCTCTAGGTATTAATTTATTTACAACTTGAAATCAGCGAATACAAGTACCGTAAAATGGGGTAACTTAGACCACTTTTTTTCTTATAAATGATGCCATTTTCTTACTAGCTAAATTAAACTTGAATTGAAACATGCAAAATACAGGTCTATACTCTAGCTTCACTCACCATAAATTGCTGGCTCCTGCCTCTCATAGTCTTTATGTAATTTCAAAAAAAGTGATGGTCTTTGTTACCCCAGCTCTTGGGGTAACTTAGACC